TGAGTCAATAAATATAAGCTTTTTACAGCTCTTGATACATACGGCCAAACCATCCATGAAAAACAAGGAATGAATTTACATATCCATCAGCAGTGTTTGAGAATAATCCCTTCATCAAAATTTCAAAGCAATAAATAATGTTCAATATGTTGATAACTGAACAATTTTTCAATTGATTTAATTTTTACTTCTTTGACATTTTTAGTACTTTAAAAAATCTGGCTATCCCATGAACTATTCTTTTGCAAACTGCTGTTCTTACATAGATTTACTTCATTTCTAAGTATTAATTGTATAATCCCATTACCATGGATTGTTGAAAACAAACATACTAAAATTTTTTAAATCATTAAAAACTAAAGCATACATCAGGTTGAAATGTTTACAATTATGTCACTTAACAGTAACTCAAGCTAAATGTTTGAGACCGATATTGAAATAAAAGTGTGGAGAACACATAGAACAGAAATGAAGACTGGAGGGAAAAAAGCCTATATACCCAAGTCTCCTTTTATGTACATTTATAAGCTGTATTCTAATTTTTCAGTTTAAGCCCTTGTAATTTTGCCCTTTTATCTCAATTAGCTACTCTTTTTCAATCCACCAATTTTATTCAGTCAGAGTAGCCATAAACATGTTTAATTGCCAGGTCAAGAAGGGGTTAAATGTATAAGACTCAATGTCTTGGCTTGTAGTGAATTACCATATCACAATGTCTAGTCACATTCACTGTTCTACAATCTTATCTCACTACGTTTACTTTAAAAACCTACACAATGAAAACAATAATTTTTAGGTAGCATTTTGGGGGTCAAATAAACAAGGATCTATGGATATAAACACTCGAATATCCCTTCTTCCGAGCAACATTAAAAATAAAATCAAAATACTGACAGTTTGAATGGACAAAAGCAGAAGTGATCATTTTATTAGACTTCTTAACACAGAATGCTTAAGTATTAAATATAAAATCACTTTCTTGGGCTTCCCTGGCAGCGCAGTGGTTAAGAATCTGCCTGCCAATGCAGGGGACATGGGTTCAAGCCCTGGTCCAGGAAGATCCCACATGCCACAGAGCAACTAAGCTCATGCGCCACAACTACTGAGCCTGTGCTCTAGAACCCGCGAGCCACAACTACTGAAGCCTGTGCACCTAGAGCCTGTGCTCCACAACAAGAGAAGCCACCGCCATGAGAAGTCCGCACACCACAACAAAGAGTAGCCCCCGCTCACCGCAGCTAGAGAAAGCTGGCATGCAGCAACGAAGACCTAACACAGCCAAAAATAAATAAAATAAATAAATTTATATTTTTAAAAAACCACTTTCTCCTTTATCATTTCTCTTTTATTAGATTATGCCTGCTCTCCGGTCAGGAGTTAATGCTACATTTATAAGGATAACAATTTTATCATTTCTACCTCTTGGAAGTATACTACTATAATGCAGTTCAAATACTTTGTTTCTCTGCAATCTTTCAGAGCACTTATTCTTACCTGATCAGTTGAAAGTTTTGACAGCCAATAACTATAACACTTAGAGTCTTGAACGTGTTCATTAGAATCCTATAAATACTTGTTTTAATAAAAAAAAATCACAGAAACGTGCACTTTCAAAAAAAAAGCTAAACAACATGACTGAAACATAATCAGTGATGGCATCAAGATGTGATGTAAGGGACTGTCCTCCTCTAATAATCTCTATCAACTTCTTGAGGTAAAATTAACTATGATCTTTAACAAGGATAATGACATTTCCTCAAACTACATAAAGCATAAATAAAAGCATCTTTGTAGATGCTAGTCTTGTTGATCTATGATGTATAATTTAGGCATTATGAGCGCTATGCAATACTCCTTTCAAGACAATTTCCCTCTGCCTTTTCCCCACCAAATTGTTGCCCTTAAGAATCTTCCCTCATACATAACTTTAGAGCTGCCACTAGATATACTGTTCTAAAATATTTTCACTAATAAATACATAATAATATATAAACAAGTTTTACCTTTCCCTGGAATGACCTCAAGATTATATATAATCTCCTATGCGAAGCCTTTCCAATCACCTCTCAGACATAGTTAACAGATCCTCTCCTATGCTTCCATAAAAATATCATAAAATGATAATCACTAAATTGTATTTTAGTTAGCTGTGTATGTGCCTATCTCCAGCTAAATTTCAAACTCCCTCAATGCAAGTATAGCACATTATTCAGATTTATTTATACTCTCCATATACTAGGGTAAGACCTTAGTAAATATCTGTTAAATGAGTTTGTTTTTCCATTATCAGTGCTCACTTTGGAATTTAAAAACACACTAATGGCCTTACATATGAACAATAAAACCAGTTTTGATAACTGTCTTTCTAAGATGCTTGTCCTAAAAGCAATAATCATCTAATGAAGCATACTAATAAAAAAAGGAGATGAATATATCAAAGTAATCCTCAAGGTTAATGAATTATCAAATTCATTAATTCATAATTAATGAATATATCAAAGTAATCCTCAAGGTTAATAATCCTCAAGGTTATATGAATGTAAAAAGTGAAGTTTGTATTGAACAGAGCATTATAAACTACCCATAATCCTACTTGGTTTAGTTGTTCTGTGACAGTTAAATTCTGAAAGTTTAAGAAATGTTGAATTAGAATTAAGAAACAAATCCAATAACAGACCTGCTAAAAGATTAACCTACAATTCTTTCTAATGATAAGAATATACTGTAGCAGCATTATCTAATACTTTTGGAACAACAAGAATAGTACACATAATGATCCTAACAGCTGATTATTTATTATTATGTACTGAGCACTGTTATAAGGACTTCACATGTTATCAATTCACTTATTCCTCACAAAAACCTAATTGTCATAATTTTACAGTTGAAAAAATAAAAATGATAGCTCCTTTAATTTAGTAAAGTTTCTCATTCCTAAATGACTTCTATCACTGCTTCAAACACAGTAATTTTGGGTTTCCACCATATTCTTTTTTTTCCACCATAGATTCTTCTGAGGTTTTCACTTCAACCTATTGCTGAAGTTACCCAATAAACAAAGAAAAGTTATGAGATTAGTTATCACTTGCCCTAAAATGGCTGTATCCTTACTTTTCACTTAAGAAAGTTTACATGCAGTAGCTAGTAAAAATTATTCTAAGATCTAATTATAAAATGTATACAATCAATAATATTCTATTTAATTATTTTCCAACATATACTGATATGATGAACTGATAATTTATTAAATTCAAATAATCTATTTTACATTTTTATTTTTGTCAAATCCAGTGTGGGTCACTGAATTTCACACTTGCGCTGAAAATTAGAACAATGGCATTAGGTTAAACATAATATACTATATATAGATCAGGTGTTCTACACCTACAGTTTAGGTCTTCCTTCATTAAAATTTATACATGGCTAAATTTCACATAAAGCTAGTAAAATTATTTAATAGTTTTCTTCTCAATATCTTAGTGTCCTTACATATTTGTAGGTCCTAATTAAAAGTTTAAGTAAAGAGAATGTAGGTCATTTATTTACAGTATAACACTATACTCCTGGACATTCTGGGCCTAAAACACAGAATTTATGCATTCAGTTTACAGACTTTTGCTGAGTGTCCTTGATCTGATTCTCTAAGGGTGTCCTCAATCCCCACAACTCTGAGCTCTAAGAACCTGGCTGATCAGGAGCAGAAAGCAAAATCTAAAAGATCCCAAAGAGGCAAATCTCATGTGGAAAATGCTGCATATATACACATAAATCCTCCAAAGAATTTAATATTACACTGAGAGATAAGAATAGTAAGAAGTACCTTAAATGAGCTATGAGAAACAATTAGAACACAGGCTCTTCAACATTGCTTTATCAATTTTCCAACTTTACTAAAACTGTCCTTTGTAGCAGAGCAACATGATCATATAGGCCTTAGACAAAGTTTACTAAAGACTTTTTCATCCAAGTCTAAAAAACACTCTACTTCACTATCAGGTAAAGAATCTCACTTAAAGACAGTAATATTGAAATAGAGATTAAATTACAGGCATATCTTGGAGATACTGCAGGTTCAGTTCCAGACCACTGCAATAAAACAAATATCTCAATAAAGCAAGTCACATGAATTTTTTGGTTTCCCGGTACATATAAAAGTTATGTTTAGACTAAAAAACACTAACCATCACCTGACAACTCAGGGCTGCCACAAACCTTCAATTTGTTTAAAACAAACAAAAAACACATTATCTGAGAAACACAATAAAGCAAAAAAGTGCAGAAAAACAAGATATGCTTACACCAGAATAGGAACACATAGTTAAACACTAGTGCAGCTACATATACAATCAAGAATTCTGACTTCTAACCAACATCAAGAGTAAGTGAATACATCGTTGGTTTTTTTTTCTTTATTTTTTTTGGCTGCGCCAGGCAGCATGCAGGATCTTAGTTTCCTGACGAGGGATCAAATCCATGTCCCCTGCAATGGAAGCATGGAGTCCTAACCACCAGACCACTAGGGAATTCCCAACATCAAGATTTTTTAATTCACAAGTTAAAAGCTAATTCCCTGGCGGTCCAGTGGTTAGGACTCCATGCTTTCACTGAGGAGGGCGCAGGTTCGATCCCTGGTCAGGGAACTTAGATCCCACAAGCTGTACAGTGCAGCCAAAAAAAAAAAAGCTTATCTGGTCAACAGCAATTTACCCATTTCACAAATAATAACTATTTGTTGTTTTAGGGCTCCAGAACTTTCAGAAGTGAAACTAAGAAATAGTGAATATCAACATTTAATTAGTATAATAATTTTATCTTATGCTAGGTTTCCTTTATTTACCCTCCCTTATGTCCCTTCCCCTTCAATGTAATAAAGGGTTGAAACTAAAACCGTTCTGACTATAATAAGTAAAGCACCAAAAATTTGCCTCGCGTGGTTATAGAAACCTTTATTTTATATAATACACTGAAGAGGTTGAGGAAAGAAAAAAAGACTGTCTCACCTTCAATGTGATATCACAGAGTTCTCCATTTTCATAAAACTGAAGAAGAGAACCATGAAAATCTTTCCAAGCTTCATTTGCTTCAAAGATAAAGGAGTCTTCTCCATCACTATCACCAAGTGAAGATCTGTTCTTTATTTGCTGGTGCTGTTGCCTTTTCCCCTTTGTGAAGCGATTCCTAGCTTGTTTTGCATTCATAGATTCTGAAGCCATTTGTAACACTTTTCTTTTAATACAGCTCTCTTCTCAAACATCCCATTTATTCTTTTGTAAAGGATGGGGAAAAGGTAGATAGGGAGAAGGTAGATGCAGTCCACTAAACTTCAGACATTTTTCAAAACCTACTCAACTGCCATTGTCCAGTTAGCTGAGACTGAAAAAAAATAACAAACACACATAAAACAACCACTCGAAAAATGATTACTAGAAATTATAGTTTACCAATACCATATATGTAAAATGACCATATAAATCACTGTTGAAAGAAGAACAGGTGACTTTGTATTTTTACACTAAATGTCACATAAGCCACCTCAGCTAATTGTATCAGTGAAGGGACTCCTTTAAAATCAAATTGGAAAATTGTGGGAAGATGGTGGAGTAGAAGCACAAGGAATCTGTCTCCCCACATAGACAACAACTGCACTGACAGAATCTGTCTGATGTAACTGTTTTGAAACTCTGGAGTCTGCTGAAGGATTACAACTTCCAGAAGACTTAGTCAGTAAATTACAGTTGACTTTGGTCAATTTCAGTTCTGTGTACAGTAGCAGCTGCCCACCCTCAGCCATGTGGCAAGCAGCTGTGCATGTGTTTCTGGAGCAGCTTGCACAGAGTTTGCAGAAGCCACAGTGGGCAAGAAGGACTCTATCTTCTGAATATCAGGGATCTCTCCTCTGATTGCTCACTACTGTTTCTGACCACAGAGGTGCAGACAAAGAGGTGGCCAGCCACTGTTATTGCACCTCCTCCCACTGTTGCAGGCCCCTCCCTCTCATCTGAAATGACTTCCAGGATATTTTAAAGGCTGGTGCCCTTTACCGCTGCATTTTTCACTATTTCCCCTTTTGGAAGTAAGGCACTAAAGACTAAGACATTAAAAAACAACTGCATATACAAGGAAAATCAGAAAGTGACCATGCATGCCCAGGAAAAAGCTCAGAAAAGACCTGAGAAGACTTTAAGTTTAAACCTCAAGCTGATCTTCATCATAAAGACAGCCCACAACAATTAAAAAAAAAAAAAAAAAAACCAAAAAAAACAACAACAACAAAAACAAGCCTTAAGGAATAGGGAAAAATCTGATTTTCAGAGTTACCACATTATTAGACTCAAACATCTAGTATTTAACAACCAAAAAAATCACAAGGCATACAAAGAAACAGAAAAGTATGGCCTATTCAAGGGGAAAAATAAATCAACAGAAACTGTCTCTGTCTAGTAAAAATGCCATTAGTTCTTTTTCAAAGACTTTAAAAAGACTGTCTTGAAGATGCTCAAAGAACTAAAGGAAGATGTGAACAAAGTCATTTGTGTTAACAAAATGGAACTATCAATAGAGAAACAGAAAACCTAAAAAGGAACCACAGAGAGACTCTGGAACTGGAATATTAATAACTGAAATTAAAAATTCATTAGAGGGGGGATTCCCTGGTGGCACAGTGGTTAAGAATCCGCCTGCCAATGCAGGGGACACAGGTTCAAGCCCTGGTCCGGGAAGATCTCACACGTCATGGAGCAACTAAGCCTGTGCACCACAACTACTGAGCCTACACGCTAGAGCCCACTAGTGACAATTACTGAAGCCCACACGCCTAGAGCCTGTGCTCCACAACAAGAGAAGCCACCGCAATGAGATGCCCGCGCACCACAACAAAGAGTAGACCCTACTTGCCACAACTAGAGAAAGCCCACGTGCAGCAGTGACGACCCAATGCAGCCAAAAATAAATAAATAAATGTAAAAAAATTCATTAGAAGGATTTGAAGGCAGATCTGGGCAGGTAGAAAAAAGATTTAGCAAAGTTGAAGCTAAGACAATGAAAATTATCAAGTTTGACAAACAAAGATTGAAGGAACATAAACAGTACCTAAGGGACCTGTGGGATACCATCAAACAGATCAACATACATGAGAGTCCTAGAAGGATAAAAGACAGAAGGGGGCAGAGAGAATATCTGAAGAAATACTGGCTGAAAACTTCCCAAATTTAATGAAATACATGAACATAAACATCCAAGAGACTCCAAAAATATGACCTCAAAGAGACCCACACCAAGACATATTATAATCAAACTTCCAAAAAGCTAAAGAGAGAATCTTGAAAACAAGAAGAGAAGTGAATCATCATATACCAGTGATCTCAATAAGATTATCAGCAGATTTCTCATCAGAAACTTTGGAGGCCAAAAGACAATGGGCGGATATGTTAAAAGTACTAAAGACAAAATGTGTCAACGAAGGATCTATATCCAGAAAAACTGTCCTTCAAAAGTGAGGGAGAAAGTAAGACACACCCAGATAAACAAAAGCTGAGGGAGTTCATGATCACTAGACGTGGTCTGCAACTCAAGGGAGACCTACAAGATGAAAGAACAGTAGACAGTAACTCAAAGCTATATGAATATAAAAGTAAATACATGGGTAATTAGAAAAGCTAGTATTATTGTAGCAGTGGTTTGTAACTGTACTTTTTATATTTGAGAGACAAATACATTTTTAAAGAATTATTAATGTATAAAGCTAGTTTTACTGTAATTTTGCTTTGTTACAACAAATCATATTTCCTACATAATTTAGAAGAATACTTAAAAAATAAGTAAAAAATAGAACTTAAATAAAATTTAAATTAAACAATTTTAATAGTTTGAATTTTTAGTTCATGTTTTTAGGCACAGAACGTATAAAGATGCAATTTTGTGACATCAACAACTGAAAGGGTAGAGATGAAACTGTAAAGAAGCAGAGTTTTTGTCTGTTACTGAAGCTAAGCTAGTATAAATTCAAATTAGAGTATTATAATTTTAGGATGTTAAATGTAATCCTCATGATAACCACAAAGAAAATGCCTATAGAGTATACACATAAGAAAATAAGAAAGGAACTTAAACATTTCACTACAAAAAAAGATCAACTAAACACAAAAGAAGACAGTAATACAGGAAATGAGGCTCAAAAAGCTCTAAGGCACATAGGAAACAAATAGCACAATACCAGAAATAAGTCCTTCCTAATCAGTAATTACTACAAACATCAATGAATTAAACACTCCAATCAAAAGACAGAGATTGGCAGAATGAATAAAAACACGTGATCCAATTATATGCTGTCTACACAAGACTCATTTGAGATCCAAAAACACAAACAGGTTGAAATGAAAAGGATTGAAAAAAATATTCCATGCAAACAGTAACCAAAAAAGAGCCAAAGTGGCTACACTAGTATCAGACAAAAATAAGATTTTAAATAAAAAATGTTACAAGAAACAAAAAAGGACAGTATATATTAATAAAAGGTTCAATACAGCAAGAATATACAATTATAAACATTTACATATATAATGACAAGTCATGAAAACGTATGGAGCAAAAACTAAGAAATGAAGGGAGAAACAGACAGTTCTACAATAATAGTTGGAGACTTCAATAGCCTACTCACAATAATGAACAAAACAACCAGACATAAGTATGGAAACAGAGGACTTAACACAATAAACCAACTAGATCTAACAGACATATACAGAACACTACTCAACAACAGCAGAATACACATTCTTCTCAAGTGCATGCACATGGGACGTTTTCCAGGAGAGATGACATATTAGGCCGCAAATTAAGACTCAATAGATTTTAAAAGACAGATACACCAAGTATCTTCTCTAACCACAACACAATGAAGTTAGAAATCAATAACAAAAAAGAAAAACGAAAAATTTACAAAATTGTGGAAATTAACACAATTTTAGACAACTGATGGATCAAAGAAATCACAGAGAAATTAGAAAATACTTAGAGACAAATGAAAACAAAAACCCAACATACTAAAACATGAGATGCAGTGAAAGCTAAGCTAATTTCCCACTAAGGGGGAGATTTACAGTTTTAAACACATCAAAAAAAAAATCAAATCAACAACCTAACTTTAAAACCTCAGGAACTAGAAAAAAGACAAACTAAACCCAAACCTAGCAGAAGGAAGTAAATAATAAAGGTTTGAGCAAAGAGAAATTAAAGAGAACAGAAAAACAACAGAGGAAAGTCAATCAAGCCAAAAGTTGGTTCTCCGAAAAGACCAACAAAATTGACAAAACTTCAGCTAGACAGACTATGAAAAAAAGAGAGGGACTTCCCTGGTGGTGCAGTGGCTAAGAATACACCTGCCAAAGAAGGGGACATGAGTTCAATCCCTGGTCCGGAAGATCCCACATGCCATGGAGCAACTAAGCCCATGTGCCACAACTACTGAGCCTGCGTTCTAGAGCCCGCGGGACACAGCTACTGAGCCCTTGTGCCGCAACTACTGAAGCCTGTGTGTCTAGAGCCCATGCTCCACAAAAAGAGAAGCCACCGTAATGAGAAGCCCACGCACTGCAATGAAGAGTAGCCCCTGCTCGCCACAACTAGAGAAAGCCCCATGCAGCAACGAAGACCCAACACCACCAAAGATAAATAAAATTGAAAAAAAAAGAAGGGCTTCCCTGGTGGTGCAGCGGTTGAGAGTCTGCCTGCTGATGCACGGGACACAGGTTCGTGCCCTGGTGCGGGAGGATCCCACATGCCACGGAGCGGCTAGGCCCGTGAGCCATGGCTGCTGAGCCTGAGCATCCGTAGCCTGTGCTCCCCAACAGGAGAGGCCACAACAGTGAGAGGCCCACGTACCGCAAAAAAAATAATAATAATTAAGATGGTAAATTTTATGCTATGTGTATTTTATCACATTAAACAAAAATCTAATTTGAGAATAATTCAATAGCACATGACTTTCAGGATGTGGAATGCACTATCTCCAAAAAGAGAGGCTATGAGCTAAAAATTTTAAGTTTAAAGACTAACCGATGATGCAAAGCAAAAATAGAGGGTAGGGCTTCCCTGGTGGTGCAGTGGTTGAGAGTCTGCTTGCCGATGCAGGGGACACAGGTTCGTGCCCCGGTCCAGGAAGATCCCACATGCCGCGGAGCGGCTAGGCCCGTGAGCCACGGCCGCTGAGCCTGCACATCCGGAGCCTGTGCTCCGCAACGGGAGAGGCCACAGCAGTGAGAGGCCCGCGTACCGCACAAAAA